GTTATGATATTTGTTTTGGATAACCTAATCAATAATGAAATGTTAAACAAAAAATTATTAAAAGTTTATAAAGACTGAAATAATATATATATTATGAGTCAAAATAAAGAATTTGATGATAATGATTTGAAAAATTTTGAGGTAATTATTTAAATTTCATAGAAATAAGAAAAATTATTTAATATTTTTACTATATTGTGAATTTGCAATTTTTTGAAGGGGGCTATTTTTTATACCCCCTATTTTTATTATTCGTACCCCTCATAATGTAAGTTTCCGATATTCATGTGATCATGTGCAATGATGATCAGTGCTTAGAATGCTATTGGGCAGTAGTGTTACATGTATTACATACAAATCTAGATGTTAAACAATCGTCTATGTACTGTACTTTTTTTTTAAACCTTCGATGCGGGTACAGCACTTTTGATACCTGTACCTACGTACAAAAAGGAAAAACATCTTGGATCGTAACAGCTTATACTACCAAATCATTTATACCAAATCATTTATAACTAAGCAACCAATCTTTTTCTATTCAGTTTTACTATGTACTGATCCATCGATTATCATTATCATTATGGTACACTAACGGTAAAGTGTAACATTTTCAAATTTGGGTTATTTTATTTCATATGTTAACATGTATTCGAAAAAAATAAATAAGCAGGTCTGAAGTTGTGAACTTTAAAATCTGATCTACGCCATGAGTGAACTTTTATTTCTTTTAGTTCATTTATACATCAAATAACTAAACTTTTTTACACAGCTATTTTTTATTTGTGCAGGTATAAGCATTATGCCCAGATTGTTGACAAATGGCACAATGCCTATTCTTGTGTTCTACTATTTCAAAGCCAGAGGGATCTCTGCATGTCGTGTTATTTTTCTGGTGATTAGGAGCTCCAGAGGGATGGCCTCTTGTGTAAACTACATTAGGATTTTGTAAGGTCATTGATGGTTCATCAATCAGGTTTTTCAAAGTATCTTGTGCCACTAATTGCTGGAATTCTGGCCATTCTTGATACCTTTGTTGTAGATCATGCAAGAGAGGTTGTAGAGGGTTTTCAGGATCGGAACTATTTTCTTCAATCTGCAGCATCAGTATGTTTCCTGGAATCCACCAATGTTTATGAATGTCATTAAGCATTAGATTTTGATTATTCTCCAGATGCTGAATAAAATGAGCACAAGGTAAGCCCAGCATTATTGTGAAAGTTCCAGTGCATGATGGTAAGGGCTCTTATGCGGTAGCACATTTTGCCTTCTGATACTGATCATTTATCTTATTGAGTACAAAGCTTGATACTTTATCTAATGTTATGAATCTGTGCAAAAAATATAATCGATTAGTCAATTGATTATTTTTTTAAAAAAAATCAATTAATTATTTAGTTGCAACTTAGTCAACTAGATATTTAATCAATTTTTGATCCATATCACTATAGTTATCATCCAAACTATTTTGGATGGCCCAAGTCATGTGATAATTAGCATTACATATAGTTTTAACCTAGTCTTAATATAAACCACATATAATGCTAATCATCATATAGTTTGAGTCATTCAAAATAGTTTGAATAGTAACTATACATATTACTAATTTTACTCCTAATATTTGAATATAGAGAATTATAAGTAGCAAAAGCTGAAATATGAATGCACTCTGATGCAATCATAGTATTAAATTCTTTTTTCTGGTTAGTTACTGCTAAAGATATTGTTGTATAAATGTGATGAAGATCCCCTGTAGATGTTTGTAAGTACGCTTTTAATGTTGCATGTGAACCCTCGATACGTGAAGTTACAGTTGTGTCCAAGTGAAGTAATTGATTTGTCCAGGATTTTATAAATTTTTCCTTCCATGGTATCCAGGTTTCCTGAAGATAAGATATTACACTAGGTTTATTAATGTAAGTGGAGCATAAATTATTCCATTTTACATCAAATTCACTTTTTGTTTCAGATTGAACGATATCGTTCCACTTTGCAAAGAAACTTTGCAATTCACCACTTTCTTCTTCATTGGTTTCTTTAGAAAACTGCAGCTTGCAATTTTTTAAGATGTTCTTACTAATGTGCCACACACAAAGTAGGTTTGTTGAATTGGGAAAGATAATTTTGAGGGTATTCATAAGTGCCAACTCTCTATCAGTTACTATAACACTGGGTTTTTGCATTCTATCAAATATACTTATGACATTTGTAAGGGCCCATTTGTAATCATCCTCCTCTTCACCTTTCATAAAAATAAAACAAGAAAAAAAAGTTTTATTGAAGCTGGTTATATCTACGATGTTTAATAAGGGCATTTTAAATTTGTTAGTCTTGTAGGTACAATCCATAAGAATTACTGTAGGATATTGATGGCTAAGAGAGACCGATTCTTTATGTGCAAAAAATAAGTGAGTAACTGAACCATTATTATCACACTTATACTTATATAAAAAATCTCCTCCTTAAAGTTTATCTACTAAAGCCTGAATAGGTGTTCTACCAGCCAGATTTTGTTGCCGAAGCTGGGCACGCATATTATAAATATCACTGCTAATGACTAACATTGACAGATCATTTTGTTGAAGTGTTGATATAATTTCACAGAGATGTGAACCGGAGGTAGTCATTATTGCAATACTTTCTTTTTGTTCTTCTGTTAGTCGATGAACAATAGGATGTCCTGACATATCATTTGAGGGATCATAATTATGTGTAGCATTACAAAGCTTCAAGTGCTACAAGCCATTTTGTCGAGTTGCATACAATTCAAAAGGACAATCGATTAATCTAGTGCTTGTTTTTCTGTTATGTGTTTCTTCAGCAAAACCAGATGAGTTGTTATAAACATCTCCTTGGTCACAACATATTGACATATTTTTTAATTCACCACGATTATCCTTCCGAGTTCTTTTTTTAACTAGAGTGTACCCTTGAGAATTTGCAAATCTTTGTGCATTCTGGAAAAGTTCATCAGCGCTATTATGTACTTCAGGAGGAGGTGGAAGCATGATTATTATAACAAGGACAATAACAACTTATTGTATAAAGATTTGTTGGTGCAATTGATATATCTTAAAACTTAATTCATCTAAATTAATATTTTGCTTATTTCAGAAATGATTATGGTAAAAACAGAGTTAAAATTACAAGGAACGAAGGATTACAAGAAACAAAGGTCACAAATACAAATTAACAATTAAAATGTGCATGATTTATTATAGTTTTGAAGAAATTTTAAGAGTAAAGCAAGGTATTTTTATCAAATTATTTCTAATCTATAATCACTTTTATTTTCAAACCCTCTTTATATTTTAGACGCATTTATGAAAAATTTTTATTTACTTTTATTAATTTAATATATACTTTATCTGATCTTCAGGCTGTGTAATGAATGTTTTTTATTTTACCTTCCTTTTTAATTCAGAATATTTGTTCTTCACGATCTTAGATTCATTTTTTCTCTTACGCGAATTTTCACAATCTATTTCAGAGCCACATGCTATGCCTTATTGGAATTTATTATATCTATCTTCTTGCTAAAAATCTAAAAAGTGTAGAGTATGGCTTGGGATGTATTTAGCAATTCTCGTGAAAGTGATCAATAAATTTAGTAGCTAATTCAAATTTTATTAATCACTTTTATGTGCATTTCGTAACCTATTTCATAGCCACACCCTATACCTTTTAGGATTATTGCTTTTTATATAGTTTTTTGTTCTAATATATTAGTGAATTTTACGCATACATTATAGTATTTATACTTATACAATTTGTGTTTAGCATTCTTGTGAGAGTGATCAATAAATTTAGTAGCTAATTCAAAATTTATTGTTCACTTTCATGTGCTTTCGCAATCTGTTTCATAGCCACGCTCTACACCTTTTAGAATTATTGCTTTCTTATTATAGCATTTACACTTATACCATTTTAATACTTATTTCTTTTCTCACCAGTTGAATGATTTAAGCCATTTTCTGAAGTCACACCATTTTAGGTTTTATTATCTTCATACTTGTATGTATGCTACTTATACGTATATAATTTCATTGATCATACAGTCTAATTGAAATCAATACCTTATACTATTTTAGTATTTTTTTCCTTATTTTGACTAGCGTCTGATGATCATTGTGTTAAAAGAAATGAGTTTATAATAGAATACACACATCAAGTAGCAAGATTACTAACAAAAAAGCAATTTATTTACCATAGGCAGCTATAATGACAACTATCATAGTGCACTGACTAAAGGACCCAGGTCTAATAGCTGTAACAGGCCAGTATCACAAGAAAGATCAATTACACATATTCCACATTTATTCTAAACAATCTAGAAATTTTTTCAAAAAAAAACCACTTTAATTAATAGTGACTGACCAGAGTATTTTGCACAGGGGTATTGAAAAAGGGTATTGTGGTCAGTGCACTACAAAAGCCGAACTTATTGCTAAATTGCTTTGATTTAGAGATGCTATATAATTTTTTTTATCGTTTGAATGTTGAGATTACAAAATACCATTTCGAATCATTGATACTGTTCCTGATAGAGCAAGAAACAAATATTGATTTATATACAGTTCCTGATAGGGTTCTAAAAAAGGGCCTTTAAATATTATATTACTATAGTGAAATATATGAAAACAGTGAGGATTAGGGTTCGTTTTTAAAACCATATCAGGAACGTATTTAAATAAATTTTTTTTAAATTCCATCAGGAATGGTATTTTTGCATCAAGATTAGCTAAAAAATTCATTTTAAAATAAATAATTAGACACCTCATATATAGTCAAAAAGCTTTAAAGAGAATTGATTATATTTTTTTGATTGTTAAAACATTTAACAAAGACCCTTGTCATAATAATGTATTATGATAAATTTATGAATTAAGCTAAATTCGAGTGCCAGATTTTTGATTTTTGAATTAAATTTAGCTATCAAATTCATATTTAAAAAAGGTTGAATTAAATTTACTAACAAGGATGAGATCATAATGAAATTTCATTACAATCACAGAGAGTCACTGACACATTTGAACCCTTAATAATGGGCTAGTATGTTTTTTTTACTTAGAGAAGACTCATAAAAGTATATCATCTAATATTATTGACTTTATAAACAATGTTAGAATAACAATTCTCCTAGCTGCCCAGAAACGAAATAATTCTCAATACTTTGAAACAACTAATTCTAACGAACATTGAGTCAACATCATCGTATTAAAGTTTCAACCCAATAACAAAGCTTCCTTATAGCATCAAGATAATCTAGTTGTTTCTGTAATTTTACTCAATATTACATTATCATTACTTTATTTGTCTGGAATTCTAACAATAAGTCAACATAATCCTATTGAAGCATCAATTTAAAATAATGGTATTTCCTCATACGTATCGTCAAAATAATCCTAAACACTCTGTAATTTTACTTAATGTACATTATATAAATGGGTTATTATCTCTTGTTGAACAAACAATTCAAGATTTTATTTTTTGTACTTGAATGTACATAAATACAGAAATACAGATGTCAAAGTAGATGATGGTTTAATATCTATATTTGTATGTAATGTGTGCAGCGCTACTGCCCAATCATGCTTCAAGCAATGATCATCATTGCACATGATCATATGAATATCAGAAATTTACGTTATAAGGAGTACAAATAATAAAAATAAGGGGTATAAAAAATAGCCCCCTTTTTTGAATTCTATCAAAATAACTTGAATATTTGCAAATATTGCTAAATTATTTTTATAGATATATTCTATTTATTAATTATTTTAAAAAATTTTGCATAGTTTCAAAATTTATCTAATTATTTCGACAATAATTTTTAAATTGATTAAAATATTTTACTATACTTCAAATATATTTAAAACACTTATAAATAATATAATTTATTCTATTTAGATTTTAATAATAGATTGGGCCAACAATTTATTACTATTTTTCAAAATTATTCAGAATTCAAGTATTTAAAATTACATTCATGAATATATCATATTATTGATTTAATTAGAAAATATGGTTCTTTAAATGGATTTTCTACTGAAACCTATGAAAGTCTTCATAAAGATTTTGTTAAAACACCATATTATTTAACAAATAAACAGAATATAGAAGTTCAAATAATGCAAATAGTAAGAATTATTTGATTTTTATATTATTTATAGTATTTTTATAAAAATTA